AAAATCTAGAATTTTTACCTCATAGCGAGTAATCCTTTGTTAATTGCTTGAAAACTTTCTTCAAATTATCAAAATTTCGAGGAAAGTTTCCTTGCTTCAAAGTAGAGATGGAGCCCTTTGAGCCACTGCATATAGGTCAGTGACTTAAAATATAGGGTGTCCAAAGGTGCGTTTAGCACAGCGCTCTATATGAGACTATTAAAGGAGATATATGCTGATTATAAATATATAATAAAAAATATGAATATATGTATATGATGAGTAAGTTGTATTTTGGCGCCATGCCGGGATATAAAATGAATTTTGAGACAAGAGGCGGTTTCGCGGGAAATTTTGGCGGAATTTTTTTCATTTTTTTAATGAATCATAAAGAAAACATCCTCGCTCTTGCAAAAAAATGCAAAGACTGTAAAAAAATCTACGAGACATTGGTAAAATGCTTCGGTATGGATGCTCCTAGCTATTCCACTGTAACGTATCATGTTAGGATGTATCACTTCATGAACAAAAAGGCGCCCATCATAAAAATTGACAAAAAATCGCCGGATCAAAGAAAAATCAAAGCAATTCTTCAAGCGCTAGATGAAGACCCAAGGGCATCACTCAGAAGGATAGAGGAGATGACAAAGATACCAAGTACAACAGTCAGTTATTATCTGCACAATTATTTGAACTACAAACTAGCGTATACACGTTGGGTTCCGCACAACCTTAATTCAGTTCAAAAAAAATCTAGAGTCCAATCTTCGAAAGAGCTCCTCTCTATATTGGGTGCGTATCAATCCAAGAAGTTTCGCTTTTTAGTAACAGGGGACGAGTCTTGGTTTCAATATGCAACAGAAGCCAAAATCATGTGGATCCCGAAGGATGAAAATCCGCAAACATTCCCGAAGAAAAAAATTGACACACCAATGATTATGTTGTCGGTTTTTTGGGGCGTGAATGACATCATCGCAATTGATATTCTTCAAAAACCTAATACGATGAATGCTCAGTATCTAATTGACAATGTTCTTACTCAAATTATCAATTCTGATGAGTCTGAGAAATCCAAACAACAAAAACAAAAGTTTGCAATTCATTTTGATAATTCAAGAGTTCACAAAAGTCATAAGGTAATGAATTACTTGGTGGAAAACAATGTCAAAGTTGTTCCAAACCCAATTTATTCACCTGATATTGCACCCTCTGACTTTTATTTATTCGGCACGCTAAAAAAGAGAGCTGAAGGACGCGAATTCGCGAGTCCAGATGATCTTGAAAATTTTGTAAGAGAGCAATTTGAGCAATTTTCTCATGATGATTTAAAGCGTGTCTTTGAAGCCTGGATCGATCGCTGCGAACGCGTGATTGAATCCAATGGTGATTATATTTAAATAAACTTTATATATATGTAACTTGTTTATTTCTATTCGCAGTATTCAGGTTTGTGCTAAACACACCTTTGGACACCCTATACTCCATCTCTACTAGAAATCGCCAAAATTTGGGTCGCAATCTTTGAAATGCGACGCAAGTTTTGGCAATTTCGCGAGGGACTTGCTCCATTTGGTGCATAGATTCACACTCTATGCACCAGATGGAACAATTCTTTCGCTGACAGCGGGAAACTTTGTCTGAATAGTTTAACATTCAGACAAAGTTTTCCGCTGTCAGAGAGGGAATGGAAGGGTAAGAGGTATATATTCATAATGTATACCTCTTACTCTTCATTCCCTCAAGAAAGTTCAAAAACTTGGGTGCAATCAGAACTGATTGCACCCAAGTTTTTGAATTTTATAAGGAATTGTTGGCTATGATGTACTGATCATGAATCAGTACATCATAGCCAACAATTCTACCTTTTAACCAAAGATAATTGATTCGTATGTAAAATATTAAGCTAAAATTTCTCTTTCTTTTAGTACACATTCTTCCATTTCGTGTACATGTATCATATATTAAGTACTAGTTATCTATTCTATATCCTTTATCCCAATTTAGATACTCAAAGATAATTCTTTTTCAGAAGAAAAAAAATATTTTCTATTAAACCGTTATTTTTTCAATGTGAGTTTTCAATTTTATTTTTCCTTTTTGCTGCTCAATGCAACATCCTCCACCCGATCCTCCATGCGAGGTTGATCAAGCCATAGGATATTTAGAATATTCTCGTTTTGTTATAGCTGCAGAGCTGCATGGTAACATAAGATTTGTCAAAGACCCACAAAAACTATCAATTGGAACAGGAGTATTAATCTACCACCGATGCGAATACGAAGGCTGCCCAGCAGGCTTTAAATTTATTAAAAATTTCGACAATTACATTTTTAAATCTGCAAACTTAACTCATATTCACTCAGGACCACCACCACAACATAAAAATACACCTACAAGTGGTACTTACCGTGCTTGGATTAAAAAATTTCTCATGAATCACGGAAGTCCACTTAATGCAACACAAGAAGTCAACAAAACGCTTGAAATACCTAAAGATCATACTTGTATTCACATGACTATGAAACAAACTGCAATCAATCAATTGAAATATTATTTACAACAAAAAGATCTTATGAGATCTTTACCAGACATATCTTTAAATCAATTTCAATCTTTACAAAACTATGTTAATCAATGGGAAGATCAACATGATGACCTTATTTATTTTGACATTCAAGGTGAAGATACTGATTTTCCAGACAAATTGGTTTTTATTTACTCTGATAATGATATGATCTCTCAAATTCATGAAAAACCACCAATTTATCACTTAGACTCTACGTTTAAATTAATTATTCATGGATTTCCTTTTTATGTATTAGCTACCAAATTTGCTAATACTCATTCTATCCCTTTGTGTTATTTTATAATATATCCAGATAATAGTGAAAATATTTCTTTTTGCTTAAGTAAATATTTTGAAACAACTCACACAGAACCTGAATTTATCATGTCTGACTGTGCACTAAACATTTTCAACGGGATTAGGAATTCATTTCCGGAGTGCAATATCTTTTGGTGCGCGCTACATGTAATACGCGCACTTAAAAAGAATCTCTCAAAGATAAATGATGAAGAGATTAGATCAGAAGTCAAAAAATTTATGAACATTTTATGTTATTATCGTGATTGCACAGAAGAAGATGCTGCAAAAATGTATAAAGAGCACATTATTGATAAAATTCAAGATCAATTGGAATTTAATTAATACTTTACACGTCAGTGGGACATTCATAAACAACAGTGGATAGCCGCTGCCAGACCAAATGAATTAACCGTTGTGAATAACGTTTCTGAATCTTTATTTAAAAAGATAAAATATCACGATTTTGGCTGCGTTAAAAATCAAAGAATTGATGTTTTTGTCAAAAATCTTTTAGAAGAAGTTGCACCCAATTACTTTTATCGTATTAAAAACGATTTACTTCAAACAGGTTTTATTCCTTCAATTAGAATTCGCGAGCCTCGATTGACAGATTATAAAACAAAATTGAAAAGAGAAGTTCAATCACGTTTATACCAAGTATTAAATTTTGTTCAGAATCAAGAAGCCAATTTGAATCCATTAAGATTTTTATTGGAAAATGCTGAAGAAAAACTTTCTCAAATAAATGAGAAGATACAAAATTCAATTACATATTTAAGATCGTTTGAAATTCCAAATGAATTGTTAGATACGTATATGTTAGAAATTAATGAATTTTGTTATAATTCTCCAGGTTATATTTTAGAACATTTCGAAGAATTTTTGGAGGATTTCAAAGAAAAGAATAATTTAATAGACTAAAAAATTTATTATTTTTATTTATTGTGAATTTTAAATTGTCACTTTTTAAGTGTTACCCCCTATTGAAAGTGTCACTTTTTCGGAAATTCTTATATACTCGAAACTTTACCGGTTTATGGAATAATTGATGACAAAAGTCGTTATTTGTTAGCATTGAAATTGCTTCGTAACAAAAGTTCAACAGAAACTTCAAAAGTGGCAATTGCAACAGTTCAAAAATATGGAGCACCTTTCTGTTTCTGGTCAGATAACGGTAAAGAAAATGAGGGAGAGTTTACAAAATTTTTGAGTACTTATGACATTCAAATCAGAAAATCAGCTCCATACATGCCACGTCAAAATGGCAAAATTGAACGCCTCTGGCCATCACTGGACAAAAATGCTCCAAAGTCTTCAGAATTTGAGAGCATCAATCAGGAATTGGAAGAATTCAGGCAAAAATACAATGACATGCCACATGGCGCTCATCCAAAAATTGGAGTTCGACCATACACTCCAAGAGAGGTTTACAACAAATTTAAGAAATGGACCAAGGATGATAAACCGCTCTGGAAAAAATGTGTTAATAAGCAGTGGGAAGTTGAAGAGATTCCAAACTATTGAAATATTCTATATTTTTTCAAAAATTCTCATTCAAATTTGAATTTGGTTTTCAAAATTATGAATAAACATTATTTTTATTAAACTTGATTTTTAGCTCTAAAGAATCAAAAGAATTTAGCGAGAAAGAATATGCAGCTCATATAGGGGTAGATAAAGATATATCTCGAAAAAAATTGAATTTATTGTAAAGAATGAAGAAGTTCATTTTAAGATTGAGTTGATTTTCAACCAAAACGAGAGAGCATGCAGGCAAATGAAATTCGAAAAGTGAAAGGAATGACATATGCAAAAGAAAAGATTCAAATAACGCAAGCGAAATATAGATCAGTTAAAATCACAATAAAATTTCGATCTTTTCTACAGGGAACTAAAGGCTATGAGGCACTAATATATAATCAGTGCCTCATAGCCTTTAGTTTGTTATTAAAAACGAGAAAACTTGTTCGAAATGATAAACAATTGCGAACAAGTTTTCTCACTTCAGCGAGGGAATTGTTCCTTATGATGCATACATTATAAATATATACATCAAAAAAAAAAAAAAAAAAAAGGGAGTGGGGCTTCCAGGGGCTGCGCCCCTTCTAGCCCCGAAGATGTTTAGTATAAATGAAGTTTTTATTCGGAAAAATTGTTAGTCTTCTGGTGTGAATTCGGAGGACTCTTCTTGGATAGAGTTTTGTATTTCCTCCTCCTCTTCTTCTTCCTCCATTGCTTCTGGGAAGAAGCCTTCTTCTGGGTCGAAAACATTATATAATGTGTAATTGAATGACACATTATATCTTTCTTTGAGTTCGCTCCTGACAAAGAACTTAGTTCCAGGAATACAGAAGACTTCTGTGCGTTGGAAAAGCTGATGTCCTGGAACGAATTTGGCAATTAGAGACTTCTTTTTTCCGAATTGTTCAGGAGTTTCCATGACGACAGTAACAACATCTCCATCTGCGAGGTCTTGTTGTTGTTCGGAAAGGTAAAGAGCAATGATATGAATGGTTGCTGCGTTGAATTCGAGAAAGTCGAATTCAAATTGTGTTGTCGTATAACATTCAAACCATTTTGTACAGTTGTCTCCGAACTCGTCAACGTATTCATCTTCGTCATATCCGTAACTAAAGACTTGGAATTCAGCAATTCTCTTGTCGAATGACCGTTGCATGTAACGAGGAAGATTTTGACGAACTTGGTATAAAGTTCTCAACATTATAAGCTTAGTAAATGTTGGAAAATACTGAACTAAGACATCGCTAAGCTCAATTGGATTTGGAATTGTCTTAGTAAGTTCAATTGAACTAGCAATTGCTTTGTTCAGAACTTCACAGAACTGAGTATTGTATGTAGCGTCTGGTTGTGTGTTTTCTTCGGCGTCTTTGAGATATTTAGAGCAAATTTGTTGAAGAATTTCTCTTAATTCGCTGTTAGACTTTTTGGTGGTTATTCTAACCGCTTGTGCCGGTTCTTGGAGGTTGTGGGGCTTTGGCTTTGGTTAGCGGTTGAGAATTGTTAATGTTTGAATTGTGGTTAACAGCGTTGGCTTCCATTAGACAAAAATAAACTGTTTTTTCAAATAAGAGTTTGAGATGAACCGTTTTCGTCAACGGAGACTCCCTCTATTTTTTTATTTTATTTAATAGTTACCGTTGGCAAACCGTTCCATCTCAAATATTGAATGAACTATAAACGTTTTTGTTTTCTATATATACTTTTTTGTCCAACGGTAAAACTTTTTACACAACGGTTTTTGAGAGTCGTCGCTGTTGACTTTTTTTGTAGAGCACTCAAAATAGTATACTTTGTCCGGACAAGTAAGGGTCTATCGTCGCTACAGGAAAAGTTACAGGCGTTCAAGGAAGTATACTTTGAGAAGCCTTTTCTCCCTTATAGAATGAGATAGGACGGTTATTTTACAAAACTGACAACAGTTTGACCGAGTAGTTTTTTGTGCTGAACAAAAAGTGTCATATAAACATCTGTCAAAAACCGCTTTTTAACTTCACTTAAAATGCCACGTAAGCTACGTAAGAATATACGTAAGAGGAAGAGAGCATTGAAACATCCAATAGTAAAACTAACACCACAACAACAGTTGCAACAAACAAATTATGAATGACCCCACTATGTTGCAACAAATGTCAAGCAACCCTATGCTTTTAAACCGAGTTATTGGTGCACAGAGTGGAGGTTTAAGAGCGGCACTTTTAGCGAAAATGCAGGCTATGGTGGAGCTGCAGACGGAAACAGCTTTATAACCCTCAAAGTCAAATGAATTTGAGTTCACTCAAAAATCAAATAACAGATGTCAAAAAGTCAAACATAGACATACAGAAACAAATAAGTGAAAACGAAAAGAAACTAGAATATGACAGACACACAAAGAAACTCAATGAGTTAAACGTAGAGAAAAAGAAGAAAGAAGAACAACTGAAAGAACTAAGTACAGAGGAATATGCGAAAAAAGTGTCAGAAAAAGCAGCAGAAGTAGCAAAAATGGAACAAGATGTTATAAATTTGAAAAACCATACTACTCAATATAAAGTACTGAAAGATGAAGAAATAAAACAAAAAGCCATGAAGACATATATGGATAGCGATGAGTATAAAAAAGAAGTTGAAGCAAATGTAAAGGCAGAAAAACTTTTACAGTTGCAAAACCAAACCGTACAGTATGAAAACTTAGCACAAGAAAGTAAAAATAACGACGCAGCCATGCAAAAGGCAATGAAAAGCGCAGAATATAAAGCTAATAATGACTGGTTAGATGCCCAAGCCAACGCTAAAGCAGCCCAACTTATAGGGTCAATAAGGACAAAAATACAAGCGGATGAAGACAGTTCAAATGAAGCTTTAATGAATGCTGACTTTAAGAACGCCTTCGAAGCTCTTCATAGTAAGGTGAAACTAGTGAACGACTTCTCATCTGGAAAGAAACTGAAGTCTGAAGGTTTCGACAACGAGTTAAGAGAAGTAGCACAAAATATGACGAAAATAACAGATGCAGCAACGAGACAGGCAGTTCAAAGTGCCTATGACGCCGTTAGAGCAACTGTTGTGGAAGTCAAGAAAAAGAGTTACAACAGACCAAAACAGACCTAGTAAATGCTTTCTTAAAAACGAAAAGTCAGGTAGGACATTATGCTGCAGATGGAACATATGTGCCAGCTGGTGGAACTTATATACCACCAAACCCTCCAAGAGAAGCACCTGCACCAGGACTACCTAAAACATTTACATCGTCACATGGACACAGACACAGGCATGCACCAAAACCAACACAACAACCAACAGTTCAAAATCCAGCACCACAACAACAACCAAAACCAACAGTTCAAAATCCAACACAACAACAACAACCAACACAACAACCAACAGTTCAAAATCTAGCACCACAACAACCACAAACAGAGCAAGGACATAAAAGAAGTAGAGAACAAGGAAACCAAGAATTCTTAAAAATGCTTAAGGAAAATTATGGTTACCCAGATACTCTTGACTTTAGTGACAGATATAAAGAAGCTATTAGAAAGTTCAAGGAAGGAAATACTGACCCGAACCTATTTAGCTTTATGGTTCAGCACCAAATGGGATATAATTTCAAACCTGGAAAATACAAGCTCGCTAAGGGATATGATTTAATAGCATATCATCCAAATGACATGGATGAATTTACTCCAAGATATTTGGTGTCAGAGATAAATGATAATTCAACTATCTTCATGAAACGCGTAAAAAATAGAGACGGAACGAAAGAAGAAAGGGTTATGAATGCGGATGGCTTAAATAGGGAACTTGTTAAAAACGGTCTCGGAATATATGAAATGCCAGCAGATGAGGTACAAGAAACTCCACAGGAAGAAGTTCAGATACAACCAGACATGGAAGAAATAGTTCAGCAACAACAGCTAGAAGAGCCTGAAGGAAACGAACAAGTCCCTCCTTTGGAAACTAACTTCACAGAACTAGATGAAGATTTGGAACAGCCGAAAAATCTTGACCCTCAACAAGAGTATGCGGAGAATATGGAATCTTTCCAAGAGTCTAAGAAAAATTCGGCTGACATAGTAGAAGAATATCGAAAAATGTTCGCCGACATACAAAAGACTCCAACATCAGATGAAAATATTCAGCATAGAATGGAAGAACTGAAAGATAATGTACACAAATACAACAATCCTTTTTACTTACGAGCATATAACGTTCAATCTTTGGATGAACTCGGTGAAAATAAAAGGTTAAATTTCAACAAAACATATAGAAATGAAACATTGTTTAAAGTTCATTCAGAACCTAGCCAATATGGAAACAAACCTACTTTTGTTTCTGCAGACGATGGAACTACAATGAGATGGGGTCATAAAGCTAATCCGGATAGGTGGTTCATAAACTTACAACCACAATTCCAAGAAGTTGTAGACGCAATGGAAGTGAATGGTGAACCAGATGTAGCTGGTATTTTCAGCGCGGCTTTAATGCCATTGAAAGATATGAAAGATGCAGATATTTTGGACCAGTATGAAATGAACATGGCTGATGGAAATATAACACCTGACGTTCTAGAACATTTATCTCAAAGAACTACACAGAACCATAGAGATGGTATATTTGGTGAAGAGTTTAGAAAGAAAGTTAGGGAGAGAGAAGGAAGAGAACCTATTGTACATGACCTTGCAAACGAAAGTTTACAAAATGTCATAAAAACTTACTTTGCAGACAATGAACGAGAAGGGATGAATATTTAAGAAAACTCAAATGGACAGTACCAAATGAAATGTTAGTATTGAAAAACATGTTCCTTGACAAAATAAAACCAACTACAGAAATAAATGACGCAAGACTGAACATTGGGTAAAAGCTTTCCCATTCACAAAAGATATTGTTGGTAACATGGAAAGAAAACCAGAATGGCTACAAAAACATATATTTGGAAACGAGCTTATTCCATATGGACAAGCTCTGTTTGAAGAGCTTGAACCGGAAACTCAGGAAAGAGTCATGCAAACAATACGCGAAGACTCAAATACAAACTATGACAAAATCTTTCTAGGATATAGGTTACCTGAGTTGGGCGACCAGAGCCCAAAGGCAAAAAGGACATGGGAAATTTACAACATACTAGGTGAACATGAGGCAAAGATGCAACAACTTGAAGCAGAGGGCAAGTTACCAAAAGCGACACCAAAGAAGAAGAGTAGAACAAAGTAAAGCTTGGTCCGAGTGGGTTCTATTATGATATATAAATCCAACTATTCTATATTTTTACCCATATGAAATGTACGCCGCTCAGAATATAACGCCAACAGTTTTGGATGCCATGAACGGAAATGTTTCCGAATGGTATAACGAATGCGACAATGCCATTAGAAGGTCAGAAATAGTTCCTGGAACTTACGAATATACAACTGCTGTTTCTTATGGAAACGTAGGTGAGTTTGGAGAAGGTTCTTCACAACAGTAGATATTGCTTGCGACAGGTTTCATATTATTTCTATTGACAACTCATTCTTATACGTGGAACAAGACATTGAAATAAAACCTTCTGCCAAGTTGTCTGACAGAAAGGTTGCAATGGAATTTTCTATGTCGGATACCAATATGCTCCAGAAGTTTTCATGGGATATAAGATATATTCTAACTCTGACTTAGTTCAAACAGTAACATGGGCAAACTATGAATGGTTCGCTTTGAGAAACTCAGTACAACCACAAGCTAGAGAACAAACAGACCAGTATGCAAATATTGAGAAATAAGAAGACTTGACCCTAACGTTCCAGGAGTTTATGTTAACCTTTCTGGTTCAGATGGAACTGCTGCCACTAAGTAAAACTGAAACTTAGAGTTCCTTTGTCATCTTTCCTCATCTTCAGGTTTTTAAGATACTTGCCAAACTGGCAGGAAAAATTTCTATCGAACTTACTCCAAGCAAAAATAACTTAGTCATTGCACAACACAAGACCATTCAGCATTACTGTAGCTGGAACTGGTGGAGCCAAGTTCTGTGACTTTTGCAAAGACAAAGTTGACTTAGACTTTGGTTTCTCAAACTTCAACAATGAAGTAAACTATTATTTCAATGCTGCTGGAACTGCTTGGGACCCAGTTAAGTTCACATGCGAAAAGTTTGAATGCAAGAGAATAGAAAGCAGACTTGCAGTCTATATGTTGGACCCAGATATTTCAAATGCTTTAGCTGCCAAATATATTGCAGTTCCACTTATGTTCCCTATACACCAAATATCTGTCAAAGACTTTGCAGGTGAAGTTGGAAACCAAAGTGCTGACCCAGGTGCAAGAACAGATATTGCTTTAACAACTGCAATGAAACATGCAGATACTATGTTTGTACTGTTCAGACGAACTATAAATGACTATTCTTGTTTCTACAACCCCGGTATTAAAATCATATAAACATAGATGGCAAATATTATCCAAGAGAAGAATATTCTACAGTTGAGGATATGAGGTCATATACAAACTTGACATTAGATGCTATGAACTTTAACAACAACTTCACAACACCATAAACCCTGAAATGCAAAGTTCTATTATGCCATATGTGAAAGTATGGACTCATACAGGAGGTCAAAAAACTCATATACAAATGGAGACCGTTCAAACTTTTGGCTTGGCATTCCATTTGCTGACTCAGAAGACTTTATGGGTGGTATTTCAACTGTTGGTACTGTCAAATACAATATACTGGTGACAGAGACGGTCCAGATGAACTGAGAGCAAAGAAGTTTACAAAACCAATAGCACTTTTCACGGAAGATGCTCTTTTGAAGATTCGTTCGATGAAACCTGCTGGGGCTCCTCAGATTGCATAACGACAGCTTCCATCGAGCAGATTTTGCAGCAGGTCAGTAAGTTGTTCTTGAACTGACTTCTCTCCGTCAAATATTGACAGTACGCCAGTTTTGACATAATATTGTAAGATAAACTTTCCTTTAGAAATATCTGTAAGTTTTGAAGTTATATTTTTGTCTGCTTCAAGAACTTTCACCATTTCAGTTATACCAACTTTCTTTGCTTTATGAAAATATTTGGTTCAGCAAAGACTGCTATTCTATAACATTTACCATTGTGTTGTATAAGAACTATTCTGTCAATGTATTTGTATTGTTTGTGTGTGTAAACTTTGTTCTGCTTCAATTCGAAGAGATACTCGAATACGTCCATCTTTTTATTCTAAGTAAAATGTCATTTCCGAAAAATAGAAGCGTGAGTGTTTCAAAGGTTTAATGGCGGTGGCAGATGTGAAGTTAAATTCACCAACTCAAACAAACAGTCAAAGTGTTGTTGTCAATGTCAAAGACAGAGATGTTGAAGTGGGGAAACCATACGAGACGAAGATGGTATAACAATTGTTCCTGTAAAAGAACAACCAACATATCCTGAAGTTAGCAGAGACTTAAGTTCTGTTGCAGATATTCGAAACGACTACCAACAACTGAAAGACAAACTTCAAACTCAGGAGAAGATTTGTCAAGCTTTAGGTATAATGTTAAACTTGGTCGAACACAACCCTGTAAAAGTGAACTCATATGTCATTGCACCTCATGAAGTCTTGAAAGAACTATTGAAACTTTTGACAGAGGCAGACGATATAAACATCAAAGAAATAGAACCCGACATTAGTTGCTGTGGTGTTTCATATAATGTCATTGACAAGATATACGTTATGAAAGGAGGTGAAACGTTGAACTTAAAGTATAGTTTCCCAGACGTTATAAAAATATTTGACGACCACAACATTTCATTAAAATTTATTTGCTAAGTAAAAATGTCAAAACTTCTTGAAAGATGTTTGAAGAAAAATAATATAGACTTTATTTCATATAAAGGACTTTACACACTTTTGAACGATATGAAAGACCCTGTTTTGTTTGTTCGTGTAGACAAAGGAAAGTTCTATGTCTTTACAAAATATTTGAACTTCTTAGACAGAGAACTTCAAGAAACCGTCATGTGAAAGTTTAGATGAAGTTCTTCTCCACTTTCAGAAAAACTTTTAAATATATATAAATGGCAGAAGATATAATGGTTTATACTATTACGACTAAAAACCCTGAGTCATATAATTCTATAACAACAAACTTACAAAGTCCTCAAGGACGCGTATTGTAAACTAACCTTTAAACACAATGACGACTAAAGCCTGTTTTGCTCTTTTGACACCAGAAGACTTTATTGTTGTGAATGGTAAAAAATACTCCTTTGAAGATACTTACTCAGATATACCACCAACAGGTTTTGTTGACTTATTTAATACTTTAAGACGGGTGTAACATGTGCTGCAACTAGAGCAGGTTTCATTATGTTTGGATGTCCGACTGAGTTTACTATAAACGATATGAGCTATAATACAAAACTTATTCTGGTTTTTACTACCAACAGTTTCCTATAACAGGAAAAGGTGTCATACAAGGAATGTCTATTCCATTGACATTAAGCACACCAATCTTATATATTGTTTCAAACTTAGGTTCAAAGTGTTATTCGAATGTCGACAGAAACTACTATGACCAAAAGATACTTATGCGTATAAACAATACTTTCTCTGCTGGTTTGCCTATTGTTCATTCGAATGCAGAATTTTCAACCTTAGTGAACTCAAACACTTTGGCAAGTATAACGTTGACATTAGTTGACGCAAAACTTTGTTCCTGTAAAACTTTTATGTCCTATGTATTTGTCAATGACGGCAGAAAGTTTCGAATTGGAAGATGCAACTGGTGAAAGTATTGTATTACAAGAACAACTTCAACAACAAATAGCTCAAGAACAACAAATGCAAACAAATGCAACAACAAAGTCAAGAATAAAAAAAATATTTTTTTTATTTTTATAAAAATGTACAGAATAGATGTTTCAGATTTTTATGACTTCCAAGCATTCAGAAAATATGTGTCCATTTCGAGACTATAACAAAGCAGTCGAGAATTTGAAACGTTGAGTCATTTATGTTGACTCTGCCCCAGAATGTTATGTTCATGAAAGAATGGGATGTTGTCTTTAACAAACCAAGAGCAACAATAGTGTCTGAACAAGAATGTAGACAGAAACTTAAGAAAATAAAAGTTGTACAAGTTGGCATGAAGATGTTAGATGCTTGGGATATCTTATTGTCAAAGTTAGAAGATTTTTCAGTTCGAGGTATAAAGTTCTATACACCTTCTCCAAACTTCTATTCTATCTTCACTGGATATAAATATGAACAAGTAGAATGGAAAGAAAATATTATAGAAGCTTGGTTAGACCATGTCAAAGAAATTATATGCAATGGAAACGAAAGAGTCTATGAGTATATCTTATGTTGGTTTGCAAACATCTTACAACATCCAAGTGCTAAAAATGAAACTGCTCTCATTATAATTGGAAAACAAGGAACTGGTAAGAACGCATTCTTTACAGATATTTTGTGCAAACTGTTAGAGGGCTTATTCGAACCGAATATGACAAACTTAGAAAACATCTGCGTAAATTTAACTCTCAATAGAGAATATGAAACTTATAGTTTGCAATGAACTTCAAAGTATAGATACAACAAAAGTTTTGAACTCAGATGCTTTGAAGAGTCTTATATACAGACAAAGTTGGAGTTGTTGAAAGAAATATAAAGACCAAAGAGTTTGTGAAAATGTTGCAAACTTCATTATGGTTTCAAACAATGCTGTTCCGATGAAGTTAGAAAGTTCTGACAGAAGATATGTAGTTGTCAGAACGTCAGATTCTCATATGCAAGATACAGAATATTTTGACGACTTAGCAGAAACTTTGACATCTGACTTTTACAACCACTTGTTCTCATATTTTATGACATTAGATATTTCTAAGTTCAATCCAAGACAAATTCCACATACCGAAGAGAGACAAACATTGTTAGAAGCAAACAAGAGTGTATATGAACTGTTCATAGATGAAACTGACTTTGAGTGTTTAGATGAAAGGTCATTGTACGATTCGTATAAACAATATTGTCAAGAATATGGTTATATGACAGCGTCTAAACGAACATTCTTGGCAAATGTCAAAAGTCTTTAGACGTACAGAATGGTGTAATATACAAAGAAAATTTTTATGAGTAAATTTTTAAAAAAATATTTTTTTTATCCGATAGAAAAGATGGCAAAATTCATCTCAGTAAACAAGTACATGTCAGGACTTAAAGAAGAACTAGACCCATTCACATATTTGAATGTTTACTTCTACCATTTTGAAAAGTCTTCATTCAGCAAAGTTTGGAACATCGAACCAGTTAAGTTTGCTATTGTGACTAAAAATGGTGCGAAATTTGAAGACTTAGACATAGAAGGTTTGTTAGCAGTCAAAGAAAATTTTGACAGAAGGTTCTCAAACCTTAAAGAAGGCAAAGCATACAAACTTGTTATACCTTATGAACCAAAGAGAAGCAGACGACTATGAATATTATGAGTCTAAGATAGTTGAAGTTCAAGGTAAATTGGTAAAAAGATTTTAGAGTCTAAGCCAGTGTTTACTCCTAAAGAGGAAGAGAACATTGACATTGACCCAGAAATGTTCTAAAAATAAAATTTTATTTTTACATGTCAAATTTCTTTTTCTCTGGAACTGGTTCAGGTTCTTTCTTCTCTTCTACTTTCTTCTCTTCTTCTACTTTCTTTTCTTTCTTTTCTTTCTTTTCTCTCTTCTTCTTCTCTGGTGGAGTTATGTCAAATTTCTCCGAACCATATTTATGTAAAAGTTCTTTGTCCTTTAATAGCTCATCTATTCTGTTTTCTATTTCATCTTCAAGAACAGCGCATGTGTCTTCTTTGCATTCTAAGAACTTTTGTTGGACTTCATCTTTCCAATCGGCGTCATCTCTGTCAACAAGTCTGTCATTGACAAATTTTAAGACTGCTCTTTGTAATGTTTTATGGTTCTTGTCATATTCCCAGAAACAGAACTTTAGAACAAATTCACCTTTCTTGTTTACACTATGTAAGATTTTATGGTCGACAGATGTTTTGCTGTCGAAAAGCTTGTCTCGAATATAGATAGCGAAATCGCTAGACATTTTCTAAAAGATAAAAATTTTAATTTTTCTAAAATATGTTAGAAAAAAAGTTTGCTGACATTGACAAAAAATTTGAGAATGTTTTTAAACAAGAACAAGAGGAAGTTAGAAAATGCTCAGATAAAGCCTATACATGACAAGTTCTTATTTGCTCAGAATGGTATATAACAGGTCTAATTGCACCACCTGGGTCGGGTAAGACTTTCACTTATCTTAAAATGGCTGCACAACAACAAGAACTAGATGAGAAGAAGAACCCATTCTATGAGTTAGTTGTTATTTGTTCGACTTCTGGTCAATTTGACCAAACCGTCAATTCGTTCAAAGATATTATAAAGAAGTCTAAGTTAGTATGTATATAAAGGATACTGAGTTTGTTAGATTGGATAAAGAAGTACCAAAAGAAGAGTTTTGAAGTACAATGCTATAAATGAGTATATAAATTCGAAGTTTAAAGACCCAAATGAGGAAATGCAGAGAATATTAGAGAAGAAACACTTCAGAAACAAACAGAAAGAGATAGAATACATTTCGAAGAAATTGCAATCTTACGATTGGAAGACTACCCTCATAGATGTCTTCTTATCTTAGATGATTTGCTTCTCATCCTTTGTTAAAGAATAGAGAACAAGACATGTGTCGAATTCTTAAGAAGCTCAGACACTTTAACATCTCAGTTGTCATTTGTGTACAGCAGCAAAGAGTTTAAGTAAGGATGTTAAAAGAATACTTACTGACATTATACTTTTCCCGGATTGTCCGAAGACGATTTCATGGAAACTTATGAAAGAGTCCATGGCAGGTAAGTTTGACAGACATGAACTATGGAGAAGTACAAAGTCATACAAGACCCTCATACTTCTTTCAGAATTCATATCTACGCAAACAAAGTTCAAATTGTAAAAAGTCAAGCGTAAAAATAAAGAGTTCATTTACTCTACTTGTTTGAAGTTGTCAAAATACTCTGTTATTTTTTCCTTTAACAATGGCAAATCTTCTTTGAAGGTAAGAATTGTACAACCTTTAATATCATAGTGTGTTTGAGGTAACGTATCTTGAACTATTTGTTTCACATCTTCATTTGGGGTCATTGAAATCGGTAAGTTTTCGCGATAGAACCAATTTCTGTCAGATTTGTAAATCTTAGCAAGGTCGTAAAAGCTTTTGTTGTTTCTTCTGACTAAATGCAACATAACCATATCTTTATCTTCCTCATTTTCCATCTCTTCAGTATAAATCATATACTTATAGTTCTTTTCCTTTCCTTTTGGTACCGAACGTGGTATTCTTTTCTGAATGCTTTTGTCTTTTGCTTCAATGACTTCATCTTTTGCATGAAGTTTCTTTTCCATCTCTTCACGTTCTTGTCTGTGAAGTTCGTCAAGAAGTCTGTAAATATACCAAGCATAACGAGGTGAAGCCCACATTGCTACGGCATTTACAAGAAGTCTATGTACATAATATCCTCTTAAATTTATTGGCAAATTTTTACGATTTTCATGTGTTTTATGCAAGGCCGAGAATTCTCGGTCTAGAGAAATTTCACTCAAAAGTTCTTGTGTGCTTTGGTTTCTGAACCAGTCGTCTGCGTGTTTAGTATCTGGAGCAAAACATGCAGTCAAAATACTTTGCATTTGGTACATATCGTCTTTGACCGAACGAATTAGACGCAATTGTTTGTTAAACTGTATGTACTCGTATTCTTCATTTATAGCTTCATGGACTATAACTGTTGTTGTGTTCTCTGTTGTTGACATATCTGTCTTTATATTCCGGATAAAAAAATAAAAAAAAATAAAAATAACTTTATTTTTTATTTCGGGAAAATTCATGAAAATTCAAGAGGGTAGAAATGAGGGTAGAAATGAGGTTAGATCTCACCACTTCACCTAAACATTATTTTTACTGAATTCAGCAACAAAATTCAAATTGTAAAAAGTCAAGCTTGAAAAATCTAAGTGTTTAGTCTTAGTAAGATGGTAGCTTCTTAAAGCAAATACCATTGCTGAGTTTTATGTACGTGAAGAGAAGTACAATGAATTCAATTACGAGTACAATTGCAATGACAACTAAGGCAACTATTTTTGTCTTTTGCCAGCAAGGGTACTTCTTCTCTTCCAATGGTTCGGCAGAACTATACTCACTCATGAGAAATGCCAAAACGGTTTAATAGAAAAAGTGTCATTTTTTCATGTCCGAAGACTCGAAGGTGCAAACACTTCCAAAATACCGACGAACTCAGAAGAGCAGCATGGCAGTATCTTCTTGACAACTTCTTTGAGTTCTCCAGGTACACCTTGGAAAATGCTGAAGAACTCCGACACAGAGAATTTGGAGAAATTGCACTCCAATACTACCTTGACAAACAAAGGGTAAACAAAGGGTAAATTAAGACTAAAAACTTAACGTTTAAAAAGTGACATTTTTATGAGCTCCGAGTCACCGAGAAAACTTGGTCAGATGTTAGCAGCTTACTTCCCTGAGGAGGATGGAAGCGTTACATACGTAAGGTTCAAAAACAACGAACCTGGAATTGCGTACCAAATTCGCAATTACATGACCATGGAAGAGTACGAAAGGTTCCTACAAGAGAAACCAGCTCTAAACAACTCAGAAAAGAAAGAGTAAAAAGTTTAATTCGTAATTGTTTATTTTTTTACTTGTAAGGGCAAGCTGCAAGTATGAAGTCGACTATCTCAGTCTTTGTTTTGACGAGCTGGACGGCTCTTGCGAGTACGTCTGTTTTGCGGTCTCCAGCTGGTGTCTGACCTTCGTAATTGCGCATGTTCTTGAGAGCTCCAACTGTAAATGGTTGTAGGATGAAGAGTCTCTCAGACTGCTTGAGGTAGTCTTCACGGTCACGAACCGAATCTGTGGTACGAGTCGAATCGGTCGATTTGAGGGAAGAGAGTGAGAGCCTGTCTTCTTCCATTGGGGTAGTAGCATACTCTTTGCGTAAACGGTTCAGACCTTCTTCGAACTCTTGGTCTCTCTTGGATTGAGATTGGAATTGTGGGGCAGGGTTTTGCATAAACATCCAAGGGTTGGGGAAGTAAGGCATAGGCTGAGGAGGGTAGTTCGGGAAGCCTTGTGGTGGGTAGTAACCTTGAGGTGGAAATTGGTAGTAAATCGGAGGTACTTGCTGGAACTGAGGTGCAGGGGCTGGTGCTTTAGGTTCCTCTGGTTTGGGAATGGACTCGGTTGGTGGGACGTCGGACATTCGTTTGTGTCCTGTGGGATGGAAAATATTTTTCTGTCGGAAGAAAAAACTTTTTCTGTCGGAAGAAAAAAACTTTTTCTGTCGGAAGGAAAAACTTTTTCTGTCGGAAGGAAAAACTTTTTCTGAAGTTCGACCAAAAAGTTCTCAATTTTCGAAAATTTGAATGGTTTACGGACGGACAACTGGAAGAGTTCTTCCTGTCGTCGGGAAAATTTTTTCCCTTTGTCCGGAAAATTTTTTCCAGTTGTCGGGAAAATATTTTCCTGTCGGATGGAAGGACTCGGAATACCAGAAGGATTTGACGAGGCAATTTACCTTATAGAGATAAATGAAGTTGTTAAGCAGTACTTGCGCAGGGTAATGAAGCCCAAGGTCAAGTTCACCGCTATTTCTGGAAGGGCTGCCTTGAATCTCGAGACTTCGACTGGAATTCCAATTCAAATACCAGAAAAAACTCCTTTCGACGACATAAAGGACGCCAAAAGAGAAACTCTTGTTAAGTTCCTAAACAAACGTCCTTGGATAAAAATACCAAACAAGGAGAACCCCCTACCCCATATGAAATTGGCAATTCAGTTCTTCTCCTTCACTTCTCGGGTCAGCGTTCTAACATAACCTGTGAAGGCGACATCCAACCAGTTCAGTCAACCTTAACGTTTTGAGTAAAAACATTTTTTTTTCATTTTTTTGAATGAAGCAAGTTAAATTCGTCCCACACCAATCTCAATGGACCGATGAAGAGTTTCAAGCCATGGTTGAAGGCGTTGAGAACGACATAGACGGCGAACTTGAAGGAGCTCAAACCACAATTGCAACCAAAATTGCAGGAGTCAAGGAACAGATAGCTCCACTTAAAGCTACCAAAGCTACTCTTGACCTCATGGATAGTTACCGTTTAGATGTCAAGAGTGGAATAAGAACAATTAAAATTAAAACTTCTAAAACTACGAAGCTATACTCCAAAAGTTAGCAGAAATGAGAAGACTTTACCAGAGCTACTTACATGTAAGGGATTACCTTCAAGCAGTCCGACCAAAGATGAATTTGTTGACATTGTTCCCAATTTTGTCCGAAAGTCAGCTCAGATGTTTCGAACTGCTCCCAACATATCCGGAATATGAACGTTTGCCTGAACTCTTCCGCAATCTCAAAAAACGTTTTTTGGTTCTCATGTTCCAAACTTTTATCGGAAGAGACAACAAACGTTCAGAAGAAGAACAAAGATATTATTTTAAACTTGTTGTATGACATAACTGTCATAACAAGCTTTTTGAAGTAAAACCGTCATTCTCAAACCACTTCATTTTTCGATGTCAGAACAAGCACCGAAGCCGAACACAATGGCAGATGTCCTTTCAAGGTTGCCAGACAAGCGCCCAATTCAAATTCAAATTGCCCAATTGAAAGCTCATCTGACAAACACCATTAAGACTCTCCAAAGTAGTCTTATGACAGAGATGACCAATCTCAAAGCCGATGTCCTCATGAACCAAGCTTCCAATGAGAAATGCCTGAACGATTTCACGGAAACCTTGCGCAATTACGAGAGAGAAACCGAGACCTTGCCAGACTCATCTACCGTTTCTTCGAAGAGATAGACGCCATCTGGAAGGTACTCGGAAAGACAGAACATGCAACACCGTACTTCGTGAGTACCAAATTGAAGAAGGAATTGTCGAGGAAGAAGAGGAAGAAGAGGAAGAAGAGAAGAACACGAAGAAGTTCCTGAAGCCGCTACATGGGCAACCCTTGTTGCCGATGACGGTTACGAAATTTCCCAACCCTACCCATACCAAATCCGCAACAAGGCGACAGGCAAGGTTTCTTACCCCAGTCCTCAACAACTTGGGACACTTGAACCTTAAACCCTTCGGAATCGCGGTTCAATCTCCATGGGCAAGCTTGTCGCAATTCAATGGGTTCCAAATCCAGGCAAGAAGACGAAGGTCAGACACATTGACGGTGACAAGCTCAACAACCGTAAGGAGAACCTCGAGTGGTTCTAGAGTAAAAAAATTTTATTTTAGGGGGAAACCCCAAGTAAATTTAGGTGTTTATTTGGATAAGTATGTTAAATTAAGGGTAATTTGCAAAATTAGTTCCTACCTTTGAATTGGGCTCTTTCGTTATCCCAGTTGCGTAGGAGGTCGTCCCAGAGGAGTTGGTAGAATTGCCAATCCAAGGACGATTTGTCCTCCCAGGCATTGAGGATGTACTGCTCGTAGAGTTTTCATGACCTCTGCCTTGCACCAGACACCCTCTCCCTTGGAACGTAAGGCTTCTTCGAAGTGCTCGAATGCGATTGGCTGCGTGACCATATTAATGCCAAATGACACTTTTTGTCCGTTTGGTCAATGTTTGTGTCTCGTGCCATAGTCGATGAAAATACAGACAAACAGGTTATATATGAGTTTGAGACCAAGAATGGTGTAACTCGACCTGTCCGATTCAAAGACTCCGAGGGCGACCATGAAATTAAACGGAAATTAGCTAGGAAGGAATATAAAATGGACTGGTTGCCACCACCTCCACCTCCACCACCTTTACCTGTTCCTCAAGTAAATAAGCCTTTCCCGTTCCCAAGAATTCCCACATTTTAATTCAAATTCGAATAAAAATTTTTTATTTCATGCAATGTTTTATTTCTGTGCCGTCTTCAAGTATGCCCCAGTACTTACGCTTGGAGAGGACATGAACTTCGGTGAAAATTTTGTCCAATTTGAATTGACCCATCTTTTCACCGACTAAACCCATTTCAATGAGTTTGTTGTACCCTTCTTCGTTCGTCATGAGTGCGTCAATGTTCTCATAGTAAACCTTCACTTTGGATTTGACTTCGGAGAAGAATTTGTTGTAGTTGTCAAGGACTGCCTTTGCGAACTGAGGGTAAGACCAATGTTCGACAATAGGTTTTAATGTGGTTACTAAGCCACTTTGACCTTGAGTGAATTCGTACTTCAAAACAAAAGGAGAAAACCTTTCAACAAAGTTGTCGACCTTCTCATAATGTTTACTCTTCATCTCTTGAGGTTTCTTAATGGAATATCCCCATGTCGAATTCATAAGCAATTTGAGTGTCATTGCAAGTTTGGGGTTTGAAGCTTTCCTAATATCATACAGTTGTTGTATGACTTTTCCAACTGTATAGTTCCTTCCCGGGAACTCACCATCTTCGTTTGGAATTCCAGTCGGAATATATTGGACAAACCTCATGTATGCAGCGTTAAGGTCGACATAGTATATCTTTTCATCTGAGTCGAACTTGTCGCAACCAATTGGTCCAGTTTGTGGAAATTCAAGTGAGTCTCTTATCTTCTGAGAAACTTCTCCTGTTATCTCATAAACATCGTCGAAGCAACCTGTTTCATATAAAACCTTCTGACCTAACTCAGATGCTCTCCAATACAATTTGACGTCAATTGGATGTCTCAATGGAAGTTTGTTTATAGCATCTTGAAGTTCTTGCAACCTCATTGGAAGTTCTTCTGGTTCAGGTTGGTATCCGAACAATCCAACTCCTTGTGGAATTGTGTACTTCTTTTGTACTAGAACTTTGTCTGGAACAACTTTTGGTCTTGCTAACAGTGAAAAGTTTGTTTCGTCTTTTGGTACAAAAGTTTCTGTCAGCTTGTCATCTGGAATTGGTTCCAACAAACCTTTCTCGAAAAGAATGTTTACAGCTCTGACAATGTTGCACTTGCCTTTTCCGAACAATGGGTTTGTAAGACTTTCGTTCAACATGAAGTGGTTGTGGACAATTGCAATCTTCAACCATGGTAAATTGAACTCAACAACATAGTCGTCATGTGAAGAACCTTTAGCTGTAGGTATGTTGACTCGGATATTGACATTTGCCAACGGTGCAATTTTTGCCAATTGACCTCTGAGAATGTACCTTGTCTTCACACATGACTCAAGATACTTCATCTTCTCATCTGTAACAAGACCAGAGTTCCTGAGACATGTAAGAATGCAAGGTTCATTGACAATTGTTTCAATTGAATTGTAAATTCCATACCTTGTCAAGTCAATGTCAGACTTATTTATGAACGGGAAGTATCCAGCATGTTGTCTGACTGCTTGAGGGTTAGGTTGGTACCATTCGAACTTGACACTTGCAATTCCTTCAATTGCATTCAAAATGTCTGAGTCGGAGTCAACCATTTGTTCTCTCTTTGTAGTCTTGAAAGCGTCAAGAAGTTTTGCAGCTGTTTGTTCATTGCCATTTGCATAGTAAATGTGACCATCCAAATCTGTTATGGTCAATCTGAGATTGTATCCTTTCTTATTTCCGTCTTGAATTGCAGCAAGTACACCCATGAAGCCTTCTTTGTTCTTTCCTTCGTCAAAGTTTACTGTAAAGGTTCGACCAGATGTAATTTGACTTCTAACTTCACGATACTTCTCATATGCATATCTTGTTCTTTCCATGGGAGCATGACCATCCTCTGCACTACCTTTTTTCCTTCTCAAAGGATGCAATTGTTCGTCATGTTTCCAGTAGAATCTGGCAAAGCCGTCGTGTCCTTCAACTTGAGGTTCACTAACATCGAAAGGCATGTCCATAAGACGTTCTTCTTCTAACCTCTCTAGTCTGTTTGGATAATTTGCACGTGCTGTTTCCAAATCCATTTCGTAGCGAAGACCAGCCAGTTTGTCATAGACTTTTATGGGTCTTCCCTTCCTATATTTAAAATTCTTCGAAACTCTCCAACCATATCTTTGCAACTCTGCTTTTATTCTAGCAGACTTTCTATCCATTCTATATGGGGGCATTTTTATAAAAATAAAAAAATGTTTTTTTCTTTACTTAACATAACCGCCTGCTGCCATAAGTCTTTGACGCCAACCCATACCAGCTAATGAAGGTTGACTTGGTTTAGTTTGGAAACTAAACTTTGGTTTTGGTTTATCTTCAGTTTTTGGTTTCTTCTTCTATCGGTTTTTCGTCACTTTTCGGTTCCTCTGACTTTACTTCACCTGCAGGAACAGTTGTGTCGTCAACATCTTCATAAATATCATATGCCATTTGTTTTTGTTTTCCTTTCAACTTTTTGTGTTTGTTGTAAAGTTTAGAATATTTCGACTCTAAGTCAATGAGATGTTCTATAATGAACTGTTGGTCAGTGAAGTAAACTTTTCCATCTGTTGTCTCGAAAGCTCCTTCAGAGTAATCTTCTCATTCTTCAGGTTTTTTTAAGATACTTGCCAAACTGGGGCAGGAAAAATTTCTATGAACTTACTCCAAGCAAAAATAACTTAGTCATTGCACCAACACAAACCATTCAGCTTTATGTAGCTAGAACTGGTGGAGCCAAGTTCTGTGACCTTTTTGCAAAGAAAAGGTTGACTTAGACTTTGGTTTCTCAAACTTCAACAATGAAGTAAACTATTATTTCAATGCTGTGCTGGAACTGTTGGGACCAGTTAAGTTCATGCGAAAAAGTTGAATGCAAGAAGAATAGAAAGCAGACTTTGCAGTCCTATATGTTGGAGCCAGATATTTCAAATGCTTTAGCTGCCCAAATATATTGCAGTTCCACTTATGTTCCCTATACACCAAATATCTGTCAAAGACTTTGCAGGTGAAGTTGGAAACCAAAGTGCTGACCCAGGTGCCAAGAACAGATATTGCTTTAACAACTGCAATGAAACATGCAGATACTATTTGTTGTTACTGTTCAGACGAACTATAAATGACTATTCTTGTTTCTTACAACCCCGGTATTAAATATCATATAAACATAGATGGCAAATAATTTATCCAGAGAAGAATATTTACAGTTGAGGATATGAGGTCATACAACTTGACATTAGATGCTATGAACTTTAACAACAACTTCACAACAACCATTAACCCTGAAAATGCAAGTTCTTATTATGCCATCATGTGAAAGTATGGACTCATACAGGAGGTCAAAAAAACTCAATAATCACAAATGGAGACCGTTCAAACTTTTGGCTTGGCATTCCATTTGCTGACCTCAGAAGACTTTATGGGTGGTATTTTCAACTGTTGGTACTGCAGTACAAATACAATATACTCGGTGAAGCAGAAGGCTCCCTAATGAACTGAGAGCAAAGAAGTTTACAAAACCATAGCACTTTTCACGGAAGATAGCTCTTTTGAAGATTCTGTTCGATGAAACCTGCTGGGCTCCTCAGATTGGCATAACGACAGCTTCCATCGAGCAGATTTTTGGCAGCAGCGTCAGTAAGTTGTTCTTGAACTGGACTTCCTCTCCCGTCAAATATTGACAGTATACCCAGTTTTGACATTAATATTATGTAGATAAACTTACCTTCTAGAAATATCTGTAAGTTTTTGAAGTTATATTTTTGTCTGCTTCAAAGAACTTTCACCATTTCGGTTATACCAACTTTCTTGCTTTATAGAAAATATTTTGGTTCAGCAAAGACTGCTATTCATATAACATTTTACCATTGTTTGTATAAAGAACTATTCTGTCAACTGTGATTTGTATTGTTTGTGTGATGGTAAACTTTGTTTTCTTGCTTCAATTCGAAGAGATACTCGAATACGTCCATCTTTTTATTCTAAGTAAAATGTCATTTCCGAAAAATAGAAGCGTGAGTGTTTCAAAAGGTTTTAATGGCGGTGGCAGATGTGAAGTTAAATTCACCAACTCAAACAAAACAGTCAAAGTGGTGTTGTCAATGTCAAAGACAGGAGATGGTGAGTTGGTGGGAAACCATACGAAGACGAAGATGGTATAACAATTGTTCCTGTAAAAGAACAACAACATATCCTGAAGTTAGCAGAGACTTAAGTTCTGTTGCAGTCGTATTCGAAACGACTACCATAACAACTGAAAACAAACTTCAAACTCAGAGAGATAGATTTGTCAAGCTTTAGGCATATAATATAGAACTTAAGGTGCGAACACCAACCCTTGAAAAGTGAACTCATATGTCATTGCACCTCATGAAGTCTTGAAAGAACTATTAAACTTTTGACAGAGGCAGACGATAATAACATCAAAGAAATAGAAACCGACAACTTAGTTGCTGTGGTGTTTCATATATGTCATTGAACAAGATATACTTTATGAAAGGAGGTGAAACGTTGAACTTAAAGTATAGTTTCCCAGACGTATAAAAATATTTGACGCCAAACATTTCATTAAAAATTTATTTGCTAGTAAAAATGTCAACTCATTAAGATGTTTGAGAAAAATATATAGATTTATTTCAATGACTTTTACACACTTGAACGATATGAAAGACCCTGTTTTGTTTGTTCGTGTAGACAAGGAAAGTTCTATGTCTTACAAAATATTGAACTTCTTAGACAGAGAACTTCAAGAAACCCATGTGAAGTTTAGATGAAGTTCTTCTCCACTTTCAGAAAAACTTTTAAATATATATAAATGGCAGAAGATATAATGGTTTATACTATTACGACTAAAAACCCTGAGTCATATAATTCTATAACAAACAAACTTACAAAGTTCAAGGACGATATTGTAAACTAACTTTAAACACAATGACGACTAAAGCCTGTTTTGCTCTTTTTGACACCAGAAGACTTTATTGTTGTGAATGGTTAAAAATACTCCTTTGGAGATACTTACTCAGATATACCACCAACAGGTTTTGTTGACTTATTTAATACTTAAGTACGGTGTAAACATGTGCTGCAACTAGAGCAGGTTTCATTATTTTGGATGGCCGACTGAGTTTACTATAAAAGATATGAGCTATAATACAAAAACTTATTTTCTTGGTTTTTACTACCAACAGTTTCCTATAACAGGAAAAAGGTGTCATTACAAGGAATGTCTATTCCATTGACCTTAAGCACACTCTTTTATATATTGTTTCAAACTTACAGGTTCAAAGTGTATTCGAATGTTCGACAGAAACTACTATGACCAAAAGATACTTATGCGTATAAACAATACTTTCTCTGCTGTGGTTTGGCTATTGTTCATTTCGAATTGGCAGAATTTTCAACCTTAGTGAACTCAAAGCACTTTGGCAAGTTAAGTTGACATTAGTTGACGCAAACTTGTGTTCCTGCTAAAAACTATCTTTATGTCTACTGTATTTGTCAATGCACCCGGCAGAAAGTTCGGAATTGAAGATGCAAACTGGTGAAAGTATTGTATTTCACAAGAACAACTTCAACAACCAAATAGTCAAGAACAACAAATGCAACAAATGCAAATAAACAAGCAAGTAATATTTTT